AGAGAGAGAGAGAGAGAGAGAGAGAGAGAGAGAGAGAGAGAGAGAAAGAGAGAGAGAGAGAGTTTGCTATAAGGTGTTACTTAACAGTCACTTTTTCATTGCAAAAGAGACAAACTAACATTTTTTTCAGAGTTCTTTGATCCACATGTTTTACAATGCAGTTTTTATCAACAGTGCTTCTCTCCTTGGCTGTGACCACACAGAATTAATGTTTTATTTAGAAAATGGCTTTTCCTGGGAAACAGCTCCAGGCTGTCCTCCACACTGTACTACATGTGTTGGGGCCCCATTGCCACTGACTCCTGGAGATCCATTCTCAGTGTTACGGCCAGTGAAGAGCTTCAGAGTGTGGTTCAGTTCAGGAGCCGCACTAACCAGAGCTCCTCCAACTCTCCCAAGCTTGTCACCAACTCTTGAGATATACCATCTCTTGCATCAGACCAGGTTCTTCCGCCACCTTCTTCCCTCCCATGTCATGCCTGTCCCTGTACTTTAATCTTGCAGTGTCTCTTCCTGGGACATCCATATCCTGCCTGGCTGCAAGTTCCCCTTTGGTGATATTCTCCCAGGCTCCACTGATATTTTGATTTTTTTTTTTTTTTTTACATTTTTTGTGTGAGGGTGGGTGGTTTCAGGGAACACTTGACCACTGAGCCTCATCCCCAGCCCTATTTTGTATTTTATTTAGAGACAGGGTCTCACTGAGTTGCTTAGTATTTTGCTTTTGCTGAGGCTGGCTTTGAACTAGTGATCCTCCTGCCTCAGCCTCCCGAGCCACTGGGATTACAGGCATGTGCCACCATCCCCTGCCCAAACATTTGGTTTTTAGTCTACAGTTAGATAACTCATTGCTTTCTTGGTTTTTCAAGTGGTCTTTAAGAGACATGTTAATAGAACCGGTCCCTCCTTCATTGTTAAGCCATCTCCCAGAAGTTGTTTCACATTCTTTACCTTTTTCTAAAAATCAGTGCTGTCATGTTACTTTCTTAAATATTGAAAATTGGTATTGATTTTCAGGCTATTGTACTGTTCCCAGATTGTACATTATTCAAAATAAAGTCCTTGTGAGAGCACCTGATCTTTATTAGAGACTTAAGCACTCAAAACAAGGCAACACTTTGTTTTCTGAGGGTTAGTATCGGGGGAGGGGGATCTCTGACCTAAATTTGGATATCTGTGGTAAACCCCTTCCAGCCTGTGCCCACGGACTTCCTCCTAATCATCGTGTTTTATGACATTCGCTCAGATGTGACACTGAGGCCCTAAGTGGGCCATTATCACTGTTCCTGAGGGAAACCAGCCTATCCTACTGATAGGTGCTGTCAGCCATAAACGTGTTTGTGCATCAGAAATATCTTCATACTTTCATACACAATGTTTGCCATTATGCTGCAGAATTGGAGTGACACTGAGATGTGTTTATTTAGATTTAGAAACTAGGGGACCTGTGAAGCTATGTTAGAAATGGCTGAGGAATGGGTGGGAGCTTGTTCCTCGCTTCGAGCATATTGCCTTGTGATGTTTTCTCTATCTATTTTGGAGCCCCCTCCCCACCATCCTGTCCATGCTGGGGATCAAACCCAGAGCCTTACAAATGCTAGGTACTAAGCAACCCCTGAAACCTACTTTGGGGGACAAAGGGTAAAAGTGAACTTTAAGAAGATTCCTTTTCTTTAAGGAACGGCTTAATGCAATAGGAAACACAGTTACATTTTCAAAACCCAGATGTACCTGTATTGCAAATCTTAGAATCACAATAATTTGTGGAGAGATGAGGCCATTGGAATCCAGTTTGTGAGGCACTGGCATCCATTGCTGGTGAGGGTTCAAAGTGACATCATCTTCTATTTAAAAAATCATTTGTATTTCAGATGTGGTGCTTTCCCCCTGGTGTCTGCTGCTGTTTACAGGGACACTCAAAAACTTCCTTTTGACATTTGCATTTTTTTGAGCATCCTTTGGTCCTCATAATACCATGCAGCCTCCTTACAGTGTCAAGAATGTAGAAGGCAGGTCCTTTGGCACAGTGATTGCTCTTTGGGGGTCCTGGAGTCGCACATTATCCCTGGAGAGTGGAAATGGGATGGAATTACAGTTTATGTCACCTCAAGGGACTTTATGATGATGGGAAAATTGCTTTGTGTGGTGTAATAGGATTTACCAGGAATTCCTCTCCCTACTTGCTTTGGAAAAGATAATATGATATTCTAATGTTTACTTCTAAAAGCCTTCTTTCCTCTGTAGGATCAAAGTGCTTAACTTTGCTGGTTGAAATCCACCCTGTTAACAATGTGAAGGTTCTAAAAGCAGTGGATAGCTATATTTGGGTACAGGTAAGTAAGCTTGTCATTTATCACTTATCTCATTAATAAAAAGGTATGAAACCTAGTGGAAAAATATTTACAAAGTGCTTTCACATGCATTATCGCATTTAATCCTCAAAGCAATCTTGTAGGTGGATATAGCTGGATACACTGCCTCTTCCTTTACAAACATGGAAATTAGGAACTCAAGTGTTAGTTTCTCTGATTCTGCTACACTATGACTTGTCTGATGGCAAGGCAATATTTTTGACGTGATAAAACACTGGATATGAAAACATGTTTATGGTAAACATTAACAGTTTATTTACCCAGTGCAGTGGTGCACACCTGTAAACCCAGCAACTGGGAAGCCCGAGGCAAGTGGATGGCAAGTTCAAGGCCAGCCTTGGCAACTTAGATCCTTTCTCAAAATAAAGCAAAAATAAACTGGGCTGGGAATGCAGTTCAGAAGTAGAGTGCCCCTAGGTTAAATCCCGAGTTTCTCTCCCTCTCTCTCCTCCCCTCTCCCCCCACCTCACTCACACACACACACACACACACACACACACACACACACACACACACACAGTTAATATAATCATATGGTTGACAGATTAATTATCTATGACTAAATGACTTAATAAACCCGTGGATTTATTAATTCCATGGATACAGAAGCATTTTGTGTATAATGGCAGGTGGATTACTATCTTCTTTATTTGCAGATTCCATGTTTGCAAATTCTCCTTGCTAAAATTGATTGGTAACTCAATATTAACACTCAAGGCACTTTCCTCATCATTTGCAGATGTACTGAGTGATAAAGAAATTCAAATCACCTGAGGTGAACGTCCCCAGCAGACATTGAACAAGGAGAGCTTTGCCTTGTTTTGGTTCTCATGCTGTAAACAGGGAGGCTTGTGCCATATTATTCTAATTTTTGTGCTCTTGTTGGTGATTTCTCTGTTTTCAATGTCCCCCCCCCCTCCCGAATATTGTGGAAATGCTTTCTAGTGTTCCTAGGGGCGGGAAGGCTGTGATGTGCCCCTTTTAGAGAGAGTATGTGTGCTGCTTCCGTGCATTTCATTCTGGCATGAATCGTAACTTCCCTAACTTGGCCCTGAGCTCAAAGTTAGGGAAGCAACAATATATATAAATTCTCTTTTAAACAGAAACATGTAAAATCGATGGATAATACATAAGTGTTATGAATAGAAATGTTAAGAACAGGGGCTCACAGTAACCTAGCCTTGTTTTTGCCCTAGGCAAGGTTAGTGTTCAGTAGACAGTGTTTTGGTGATTTTATGGAACACAGTTGCCACAGAAAACAAGAATCAACTGTGCACAGACATCTTAGGGCTTAATTTCCCTCTGCATAATTTCAGATTCTGCTACAGGTCAAAACATTCCTTTTGGTCTACCTGGGGTCCACTGGTGTCACGTGAAGTACCTGCTTCTTCCTTCCCACCCCACCCCCACTCCCAGCCAGCAGCCAGCACGTTTAGGAGAGGGGTTGTCTCTCCTCTGTCCTGGGTCCTCTGCTGTCAGCAGTCCTTCCAGCTGTGCACTTTTCTTTCCACTCCTGTTGTTTCTAGATGGGTTTGGCCTGGAACTCCCAAGCTATATTTCTCCCCCCTGGAAAGTCTGTCATCAGTGCAGGGGTGACTGTGGGACAGAGGCACACTTCCCTTTTCTGGCTTATTTTTGGGCTTCCCTACCCAGTGCAAATAACAGACATTATTGAAGGTCTGGGGCAACTAAAGGGAATTACAGCATAGAGTTTTTATAAGTTACACAACATTGTGAGTAGATTAAAAGCCACTGAAAATTATGTCAGTTGAAGTGATTAAAACTATGAATTTTATGTGAATTTTAAAAATTAAAAGCATATGATATATGACAGCATTTATAGGCCAAAAGAAAAGAAAATCTCCACCCAAATCAAGTACAGCCTGCACACACTCTGTGGACCCGTCTCAGTTCCTAGTCCTGCTCCCTGCTTCTCATGTCTGTGCCTCTAGAGAGAGAAGCTCCTCCAAACCTCCATGGCTTATCTTCACCTTTTCCCTCCCTTCCTCCTCCCCACTTAGAGTGATGCCATTTCACAGTCCACTGGGTTCTCACTGAGACCTATCTCCCTTTCTCACCAAAACATCCATGGCGATCTCCAGTAGTACGTTTCCCTGGTCACCGTCTCAGAGGATCTTCAGCAGGACAGTGGTGGGTGGTGCTTGCACCCCAGTCTGGTACCCTTTGAGAGATCCCTACCAGTATGAGGTGCATCTTCCAGATAGTTCCAGTGTGTAAATACATACCCCTCTACACAGCTAGACTACCTGCTCCCCAAAGACCAGCACCAGTTCTCAGTCTAGCTCCATACTTGTGAAAATAGATGTTTCCTTAAATACGTGTAAAACCTGCATAACTTCCTATTTAGGATGTACTTAAGTAGTTGAATTTGAAGCCCCCCCCTTTTCTTTTTAAACTTTGGGGCTCTGCTCTAAGGCTGCCTTATAGTAGGAAGAAAAAGAACCATCACCTGGATGGGCTTTAAAAAAAAAATCACTTTCTTACTGGTCACCTATGCAAAGACCAGGCAGAGGGGTAGAGGTTGACAATTATTAATGCTGTAGCACCTCATGTTCCTAATTTGGCAGATCCCCACCATCTTGGTAGACTCAGGAGGCCATACTGTCTCCTATGGGAGTATCTCCTTATTTTGAAGCACTGAGTCTTTGCTCTACTATTGTGTGTGTGGTGCCAATTATTTCTGCTTTTTTTTTTCAACCCCAGTGCTCGGTGTGTCCTATTTGGGCACAGTTTCACAATTATGAATAATGAGCTCTATATTTTTGTAGCCAATGTACCACATTGATGTTTATTTTGTAATTTAAGGTTATTGCCATGAGGAATGGTGGGAAGTTTTGCTTTTCAATTCCGAATGTCCTTTTTGTATATGCATGTATGTGTGAATTGAACCCAGTGCCGTGGGTATGCAGACAAGTACTTCACCACTGAACTATGTCCCCAGTCCTTTGTTTTTTATTTCTAAAAGGGAATTTGACTATAAACACTTAAATTGACCAGTTCCATTTCTAACTTACTATGAAAAATTAGGACACTAGGTAATGTATTTAATCATTTTCCTAAGTTTTAGTAAGACTGATGACTATAAAATAGAAATATAAAAAGTTATGTCCTTTCATGAAGTTTTTAAGTCTTGGGGACAGGAGGAAGGACAAAATTTACTGGTGGATCTTACCCAGTAAGCTGTTTTTCATGCCAGAAAATGAAATTGTTGATTTGCAGTCAACTGAGGAATCATCCCATGACCAGTTTTCCTCATTATCACGGTTGATAGGGTCAGGCCTTGTGGTGCAGGCTGCCGGCTTTGTCCTATAAGGATCCTGTGTAAACCACAAAGAAGGAATGGGGTGAAATAAGTCTTTTCTTCCCAGTGGTGATCATTCTGTCTTTGAGGCTTGTACATTGTCAACCACAGGCCACATCATGACTCACTGAACTTTTCTTGAAAATCCCCAATTATGTTGTGCTTTGCTTCTGGGGAGCAGGAATTTGGAAGTTGTAGTGGGGAGTATGTTTACTTGGCCCACAAAGTATACACTAGGTTTAGTTGTACAACAAATAGACTGATCACTCTATTTTTGTGTGTGAAAAATACTGTATAAATGTTGTTTGCATTGCTTCTTTCAATTGGCTTCAGAATCAATATTCCAAATACGAAGTATCATCCCTAGAAATAGCTCCAACTATTGCTTTCTTGTTTAACTATATGGTGATAGTGTTGTGCTTAGATCAACTTCCTCCTAGAAAAACTGAAGTCCTGAAAATTTCTACTTCCTGTGTACTTTGACCTATGTGTATGTGTGTTTCCCCTGAACTATTGTAGAGCTCCCAGTCCCCTTATGGTATATAGTAGTGCAGTGATTAAATACAACTTCTGAAATATTTGTGCAACTAAGAAACGTGTGATTTTGATTAATTTGCTTTTTACAGTTCCTCTACCCACATGTTGGAAGTCATCCTCTCCCACAGGACCAACTGTTACTGATATCAGAAGAGAAATGTAAGTGTATCTTTAAGTTCCGTGTGGAGGCATGTGAATGATACATGGTCTCATAATGAAGTGTGGACATGAGTGAATCTTCTAGATGTCTTTGCCATTGCTAAGGGTCCACTAATCTTTGTCCACTTGAGACCTAGAATTCCTGTGGAAGAGTTTGTCCTATGGTGCCCCCAAGTTCTGCTCAGTTTGCCTGTCTTGGGAATGACAGGATCCTATATACATAGATCTCCAACTTCGTCACGTGGTGGGATGTGTGGAGAACAGTTGTGCTGGCTATTTTTGCATTTTTCAGTCCTTCCTTCGTTAGGATGTCTGTCCTAGGAGATAACTTTAATACCAGGAGAAAAAGGCTTGGATGGAGAGAAGGGAAGGCTTTGGTTGCTAGAGGAATTCCAGATCTGAGGACACATACCAACATGGCCAAATTCAAGTAAAAGCAAATAAGATTGTGTCAAAAGAGCTCACGTCCTTTCATGATGTTTTCATTGGGAAGTGGGGAAGGACAAAAACCCACTGGTGGACTTGTCTAGTGAGCCATCTTTCATTTATGGCTGGGAGAACAGGCTTGAGGGCTTAAGTGTGTGTTCAGTCCTTGTTCTGCCACTCAATTTCCTGTCTCATGTTTTTGTAAGTAGAACTGGCAGAAGGTGTGACTGAATCAAAATTGTTTTTTGCTGGGCGTGGTGGCACGCACCTGTAATCCCAGTGGCTGAGGAGGCTGAGGCAGAAGAGTCACGAGTTCAAAGCCAGCCTAAGCAATGGTGAGGTGCTAAGCAACTCGGTGAGACCCTGTCTCTAAATAAAATACTAAATAGGGCTGGGGATGTGGCTCAGTGGTCGAGTGTCCCTGAGTTTAATCCCCAGTACTCAAAAAAAAAAATTGTTATAAGGAACCATCTGCAAATTAACATTAAGTCTTGGGGTTTTGTTCATGTGAAATTGACCCCAATAAAACTGCCTCTCCCAAATGTCTTGTATGATGAGTTTTCAATCTATACAAACAAACACAAGTTTGATATTTGGACATTCAAGATAAGCCCTGCTAAGGTGCCCTGTTTACCCTATAAAGACTGATGACATAGAGGAGCAAATACTGTTTGAGGGAAGAAACGTGCAGAAAGACAACACAGTATTGGTGCTATAAACAGAGATATGATAAATGGTGGTATAAAGATGTATTAAGAATTGTATGCAAAAAATAAGAGAGCTCACGTATAATGGCATAATTTGGAGTGAACATGCTTTATATATAGAGTTACAAAAAATTGTGCTGTGAATGGATAATTATGAATGTAATGCACTCCACTATTGTCATCTAGGTAAGAAATAAATAAAAAAAAGAAAGGATAAAAAAGAGTGAAGCAAAAGTAGGTATTGAAATAGACTAAAGAAAGGGGAAGAAAGGCAGGTTTTTATTTGTGTTTGAGTCTCTGTTGTAAGTCTGATAATATTGTTTTGTAGCAGTTGTTTAATCTATTACTTTTGTAAAAATTTTTTCACAACAGACAAAAATATACTGATGTTTATGTTGAAGTTTCAATTATCTTTTTTTTCAAGATATTGAACAATTTCATATCCAAGTCACCCAAGAAGATGGAAATAGAGTGGTAAAGATTTGGAATTTCTTTTTTGTCAGTTTTCTTCTACAAAGAACTATGTAGACTGTTTAAAGATTAATGCTATCAATATGTGGTATTTTCTTTATTTGAAGTCTTTTAAATTATAGACCTGCTATCATAACATGTAAGACAAAGCTATATGAGGAAGTTAATTATCGCCTTTATCTCTGTGTCACCCCTGTCAATCTGTTTCTTGGAGTAACTAATAACAGTGTCCATGTGGGTCTTTGCACAGCTTTTGCCTTGCTCATGCAAACTTGCACAAGGTTAGACACATATACATGGGGAATCCATTGTCCTCACCAAACTAAAATTATAATATGTACATTTACCAGCTACTTTTGTGTTTACTTTTTTACTTACTATGTCAGGAGTAAATAGGTTACTAAATAGAAAAATAATCGTTTTTCTAATTTTTACGCATATTTAAACACATAACAAATGAGATCATAACATTTATGCTGCAGTTTTCCGTTTTTTGTTTGCTTTCCACATCTCCCTTTCTTCTTCCCCTCTAACTTATGTTCACCAACTGGTATGTATCCTTTCATACTTAACAAAATCTCCTACCCCCCACCCCAGCACACCCAGGGTTGATTTGTCATTCACTCTTTACCTCATTCAGTTTTGTGGTGTTACCTGTAAGTCAGTTAGAATAGCTCCAATTCATTCTGTTTAGAAGCATGAACATAAAAACCCATAATTTTTCAGTCATTCTTCCATGGATGGATAGTCACTTGATTTTCCAGTTTTTCATTTTTATTTTTGCATTAAAAATCATCAGGAGCTGGGTGTGGTGGTACATGCCTGTGATCCTAGTGATTTGGGAGGTTGAGGAAGGGGGATCACAAATTTGAGGACAGTCTCTGGAGAGAATTAAATAAGATGGGGTCAGGAATAGGGAATGAGTGTGAGGACTGTGCAGGAAGAGAGAGGGGAGGGGCCCTTATCAGCTGCCCAGAAAGGATTCTGCTGGCCAACTTGGCACAGCCTCAGCATTTCTTCACCCACGTGTGCTCTTCCAGGGGCAACCCTTTGTTCTTAAAGGCTTCCATGGCTGCTGCATACAGCAGAATGCAACTTCACGTGCTCTCCACAGCCTCTTGCCTGATTGAGTTTATGGTATCATAATCATAACCATTTTCACAGAGAAGATGGCAACCACGACTCACAGAGGTGAAGTAACTGTAAAGGGACAAGGTGGAGATTGGAACCTGGGTATGCCACTCTCATGCTCCTGTTTTTTGTCAGTATATCCCTTTAGTTGAGAGGATTCTAATACTGTCCCAACCTAACAAATTTC